CCTGTAGCAAACTTAAAAATAATAGCAAGAATAATAATAAGTAAAAATTTAAAATTATGATCATTGTAATGGGTGTGAAATAACATCTTACCGTGGTTTCGATTTGTGTTCTCCTAGTGACTAATGATGTTAGTGCTTTTCATGTGCTTGTTGGCCACGTATACATCTTTGGAAAAATGTCTATTAGGGTCTTTTCACCATTTTTTAATTGGGTGGTTTATCTTTTTGTTGTTGAGTCACAAGAGTTCTTTTTATATATTTTGATATTAGACCCTTCTCAAACATGTGATTTGCAAACGTTTTCTCTGTCCTGTACATTGCCTTTTCACTTCCTCAATAATTGCCTTTCATGTACACACTTTTTTAATTGCCAAAGAGCACTTGACTCACCAGAGAGAGAGAGGGAGGGGGAGAGAAGCGCTCCCCAGTGTGGTATGGTCAGGCCACAGTTCCTTCTCCCTAGTTCTCCATCCTATTGGGATATTGGACATGTACACACATGGGCTGGATGTGTTTTTCAAGACTCCAGGGCTGGTATATAAACCATGGTTGGCCATATGGGATCTAGCTCCCTTAACCAGTTAGGAAGTTATCGGGCTGGCCCTCATCTTTAATTTTGCTGAAGTCCAATTTATCCATATTTTCTTTTGTTGCCTCTGATTTGGGTGTCATATGTATAGCTGAAGTTTACTTTTGACATAGTTGCCACCTCTTGGTACCTTAAGGCTTAACTGTTTTCCTTTAGCAGGTTTTCCCCTCCCTTTTCAAATAGCTTTTTGCCTCAGTGACTCACTTCTTAGTCCTTACTCCATAGGTATTTTAGTGAAGAAACTCAAAGAACCTTCTTTGTAGGATAACTTTAGGTGCTTGATGAAAAAAAATTAATGGATGCTGGGAAGAAGAATCTGGCCTTTGGTGATTAAAGGCTTGGGAAACAATTTAAAGCTTTGGGGTCTAGGAGAAAGAAGCAGTGAACCTTCTTTCTTTCTTCCTTTCTTTCTTTCCTTCTTTCTTTTTTAACTACTCTGCATATTTCATTGTCATATAATATTAATTACAGGTATAATGCTAAGCCTGAAGTTTTTGTAAGGCTTTAAGTTTGAAACTTTCCTTCTATCTATTTCTATCTAACCACATTGTCTAGACAAGACCTAGGTAAATATTGTAGTTGAAAGATTAAGGTTAGACAAGACCTTATAAACTTGAATAAAGCGGTTAGCTCAGTGAACAAAGAACAGTCCTTGAATTTGCAACAAATGGAAGGGAACTTGATGTAATCAAACTGAATCTTTACCTTGCTTGCAGTCAGAGATTTTCCTATCATTAGTGCTAATTCTTATACTATTGATAATGATTGCTGACATTGTTTTTTCTTGAGATACTATCTTTTAAAGTTTCTAATCCCTAATAACTTCATAGATAATTGATTTCCGTTTTTTCTAAATATCTTCATAGTCTAAGATTAGGTTTTCTGTTTTTCCAACTCTTACACAATTTAGAAAATGTCATGGGGGATATGTTGTACTTCTTTGCTTCAGTAAATAATGCTTTTAAGAATGAGAGGTTCAGGGACCAGCAGATAGTATAACAGTTATGTCACTGGCCTCCCACATAGTCAACCATGGTTCTAACTCCAGATTTAAATTCATGCTGGGTGCATGTGCGTGCGTGTCTAAGATCCTGAGAGGAGAATGGAGAAGAAGGGATTGAGGTGTGACCATACCCCGTGTGTGTGTGTGTGTGTGTGTGTGTGTGTGTGTGATTTCTTTGTTTCTGTCTCTCTGGTTGAGCACATGTGCCATATAGAAAATTCTCTCTAAAAAAAATAAAAAGAATGACAGGTTCAGCTTCAATGATAACCCTGAAACCCACTTTTTTAAAAAAAAATTTTAATAGTGCTTTACTAAAATACACATTTAACTTCTGTTATTACTGTTCCTAGTTTTTATCAGTATTTAACACTATGCAAAATATGTGTGCTCTTTTCCTGCTTTTGTCTCAGATTTAATTTTGAATTTTTATCTCATCGCAATTAGTGCATATGTGAGAGAAAGAGAGAGAGTGAGGGAGAGGAGAAAAAAGAGAGGGAGAGGAAAACAAAGGAAAAGGATGTTCTTTAGAAACTAGGCTACAGGGACCAGCAGATGGCATAATGGTTATGTAACTGGACTCTGCCTTAGTCGACTGAAGTTCGAGTTCTGGATCTGGTGACTTAAAACTCAAACCAAGTGCGTGCATGCGCGCACACGTGTGCGCGCGTGTGCACGTGCCTCAAATCCTGAGAGCATAATGGAGGAGAAGGGATTGCAGCATGGCCACCCCTCTTGGGAAATACTTTTTCACTTGCAGCCTTTCTGTCTCTCCAGCGAGTGCATGTACCCTATAGCAAGAATCTGTATCTAAAAAACCCAAACTAATCTATAAAGGAATTTTACTTTTAGGAGTTTATCTTAAGGACATAAACAGAAATGTGATGTTTTCCACACAGATGTTCACTGCAGTAATATGCATAATAGCACAAAACTGGGCACAATCTTAAAATCCAACATACACTGGGGCCAGCCGGTAGCTTAATAGGTTAGGCACTAGATCCCCACATGGTTGACCGTGGTTCAAGTCCTGGACCCCAGTGGCTTGAAACTACATGGGGCATATGTACATGCATACCTAAAATCCTGACAGGCAAATGGAGAAGAAGGAATTGTGGTATGGCCATCCCCCCTCAGGGGTGATTTCTCATTTTCTGTCTCTTTGTGTCTCCAGTGAGTGCACGCCTCCTACAACAAAAACAAATCTCTTTTAAAAAAATTCAGCCTCAACTATTGGTTCAGTAGATTATGGTGCAGACTCATTCATCAAACAACTTGGCAATCATTAAAATGATGTTATAGGAGATTACTTATTGATGTGGAAAAATATTTACTACTTCAAATGCAAACCACAGATTGCAAGATAGTATGAACATGTGTTCTCAGTTCTTTAATGAAAGTTATAAATATGCATAGAATTAAGTTTTGAAGATTGTGTACCAGAATTTTAATTGTTATCTCTGCATGGTAGGATTATGAGCTTTTTTTTTTGTTTTTTTTTTTGTTTAGGTTTTTGTGATAGGGCATGTGGGCTCGCCGGAGAGAGACTGACAGAGGGAAAGTTATCCCCTGGGGTAACTGACCATGCTGCAATACCTTCTCCTCCGTTCTCTTCTCAGATTTTGGGCATACACACACATGCACCCAATATGATTTTCTTGGGTCGGGGACTCCAATCATGGTTCAGTGCCTTAACCACCACGTGACCTGATGGTCCTAATTATGCGCTTTTGTTTTTATTTGAAGAGTCATATATTGATTTTATATTAAGGAAAGTTTTTTTTAATTCTATGCTAATATTGTTGATCATTTTAATAACTTCATTTTGTTTCTTAGATGTTAAATACTTTGTTCTCTTTCATCTCAGTGTGTGTACTATAGTTTGTCATAATATTAGGGTAAATAACCTCATGTAGCCTATATGCACACAGAAGACAGAATCATTATATAATGATGTTCCAGATTTTATCTGCAGTTGGTGACTTTAGATTATGATATTCTTTAGATTATATTTTGGAGCCCAGTGCTTATTTGGCCAGTCAAGATTGCACATAACTTTTTGCGATTTCACTTAGTCACCTTATCAAAGAATTGGGTCTCTGTGACAGAAATAGAGAGATCATTCTCTCTGAAAAGATTGATACAATTTACATGTATTCTCATACTATATATATTAGCTTGCTAAAACTGCCGAAACAAAGTCACAGACTGGGTGGTTTAAACAACAGACATTTATTTTCTAATAGTTCTGGGTGCTAGTAGGCCAAGATCAAGATGTCAGCAGATTTGGTTTCTTCTGAGGCCCTTCTTCTTGGCTTGCAGAGGCCACCCTCTAGCTACCTCTTCACTCGATTGTTCCTCTGTGCAGGCGTGCCCTTGTCTCTCTGTGTCCTAGGTCCTCTTCTTACAAAGACATCAGTCGTATTGGATTAGGCCCATCCTAATGACCCCATTTTAACTTAATTATTCCTTGAAAGGACTTGTTTCCTAATAAAGTCACAATGTCAGATACAGGGGTTAGGGCTTCAACAGAAGAATGTGGGGAGGAAACACAACTCATTTTAAAACACTATCATTTATGGTAAATTTTAATTGCAAGGTTCAAGTAATGATGTTGAAATAAGTTTTGTAAATATCAATGGTTATTGTAGACTATTATAACATTTTAAAGAACTATAGCTGTTTTATATGGGAAGGAATGTAGAAGATTCTAACAGATTAATACTAATTATTTTATTTCTCTGGAAAAGTAACACATACATTATGACTATTGATGATGAGTTCACTGGTATATAAAGAACAGTATCTTTCATAAGTGTTAATAAAATATCAGTATCAAATCAAATATATAGAGAGCTGTCAACTGAAGAGGGATTAGAATTAAAGGGGAATAGAATTAAAATTAGGGGGAAACGATATAAAAAAGTTTTTCTTACTGTCATTTAGAACTTCCTTTCTGTGAATGTGCATTCCTGAAGGTTGGTCAGTACTTTGTCCTGAGATTCCGAATTTGCTTCACTGTTGTAGAGGAAATTCATGTATTTAATGTGGTTATTGGGGGAGGTGTGTGTGATTATTTTTCTTTTGACTCTAAAATTCTTTAAGTGTAAGGTGGTCATTTTTGTCTTTCAAGAGGCTACTTTACTTCACCTTTATGTAACTAAGATAAAAAATTTTTTTAAATCATTAAAACTTTAAGGTACAGATTAATTATCAAGGTTAATCATTACATTTAATATTCTGAGGACTATATTCTGTTACTTTCCTTCTCCCTCTAGTGGGCAGAAAACACTTCAAAATATTACATGGAAGTGTTAATATTAGGTATTTCCATACAGTTTTAGCTTTCTTATAAATTAAAAATTGTTATTATTTCAGAGTTATTAAAGAGAATGCCTTATTCCTTTCTAGGCATAATAATGGATCCTTAAATGTGGAAGATGTTCTTACCAGCTTTGACAATACAGGAAATGTTTGTAAGTTATATGCTCATTCTATAGGAATATATTTAGTGTTTCAATAAGTGAATTTATAGTTTTTTTTACTAGCATTTATCATACTCACAAATGTGTGTGTGTGTGTGTGTGTGTGTGTATTAGAAACTCTTACTGTTTTTAGCTGAAAATAAGCCTTGTATACAATGCACCTACTAAGTGTGTTATGGCAGCTTTAACACTGTGTGTGTGCGTGTGTGTGACAGGATGTAGGTCAGAAAGAACACTAGACTCTCCGGTACTGTTCTTTTTGTTTCTTATGTTCATTTGCACTTCAGTCATCCAACAGAGGGGCTGTTTCTTTACTGAGTTTTGGGTGCTTTCTTTGCCATCCCTTCCTTCTTCACTCTTTCATTATAGAATAAAACCAGAACATGTTTTCTTTGGTGCTAATATACTTCAGTACCAGAGCCTTTTTGTTTGATGAAATATTAAAATATTATTGAATATATTGACTTTTCATCTCAGTCTCTGATGAAGAGGTGATGGATTTCTCTATTGAGAAAATCACTTAAATAATTCTTATAGTTCTTATTAGTTTTATATGATGAAAGAAATCAGCCAAGAATATCTTTTTGTGGGGCCAGCAGTTAGTGTAATGGTTATGTCCCTGGATTCCCACGTAGTTGACTGCGGTTCGCGTCCTGGACCCGGTGGCTTAAAACTCATGCCGGGCGCGTGTGCGTGTGTGCCCAAGATCCTGAGACAAGAATGGAGGAGAAGGGATTGTGGTGTGGCCATCCCCCCTGGGGGGGTGATTTCTCGCTTTCTGTCTTCTATCTCTGTCTGGCTAGTGCACGTGCCCTATAGCAAAAACCTCTCAAAAGAAAAAAAGAGTATCTTTTTGTGACTGAATTAAACGTTATATCATGATAGAAGATGTGTACTCCTTTATGTATTTTGCATAGGATATTTCTCCTGATATAGTGAGTTATCAGTAAGATAAGATCATTTAAATGTAAAAATAATATTCAAATTTTTTTCTCAAAAGAAGTTTTAGAATTGCAACTTCTTTTTCTTAATTTTAATTTATTTTATGTATTTCTATACATCACTCACTTGAAAAGTGAATTCTCCTAACATGAATAAACTTCACACCAGTCCAGTTGAGGATACTATACATGTTATCATCAACAGACAATAATCCATTTCTCTGTCCCATAAATGTTTTGTCTATTATTCTCCTTAAGATCTTTCCTCACACTCTCCCACCTTTCTCACCCTTCTCCCACTTGTATCCAGTGTCTATAACCATTTTCCATGCTTCTTTATCCTCTAATCTTTCTGTTCCTACCAGAGTGTGACAGTTGGTGTATATTAAGTAGAGACATACAGTGTCTCTCTTCCATAGCCTGACTTGCTTCACTCAGCAGTTAATCTTCCATATTTGTCCACTTTCTATCAAAAGCCAGGGTCTTTTTTTTTTTTATGACTGAATAGTATTCCATAGAGTATATGCATCACGTTTTTCCAATCCATTCATCTGTTTGTGGATTTTTAGGTTGGTTCATTGTCTTAGCAATTGTGAATAATGTCGCAGTAAATACAGATGTGCAAGCACTTTTCCAACTAAGTGTAGAACTGCAACTTCTTACTGTCTGAGTGTATTTAACACACTTTACTAACTAGTGCAGCTTTATCAAAATGAGTTAGATTTGTACAGAATCATCTCTAGTAATATTCAAGTAATACTTTGCTTTTAATGTTCACGTTATAGCAAGCTTTTGATTTTATTTTTAAAATGATTTATATATTTTCTCACTAAGGAATCTAAAACTGTCTAATATCCTTCTGAAGTATTTAAAATAATACAGTTTTTATTTTCCTGTGGATATTGACAGATGCACTTTTTACTTTGTACATGTTTATACTTCCGAAATTAGTTTCCGTTTGCATATCTCATGTTTCTATTGTAGGCTGGACAAGCACTGGTCAAGGCATACTAAGGTAGTTGAAAAGATATTCTTTAGCTCTTGGATAATCTTAAACATCATTAAATCGGGTTTATACATACATAATTTCAGAATGTGATTCTAGAATGCTAAATGCAGAATTAAAGAAAAATGTTTATTTTTTCCTCAAGTGTGAGAGAGACAGAGAGAGAGAGCAGGCACTCCCAACAGGATCCAAATGCCATAATCTGTCCCCAGCCCTAGCACCCCTGGATCACACCCTGCATACTCAGGGAGACTCCAGATGTGAACTTGGAGCCTTCCCATGCAATCAGCCTCGCAGAGCATCACACCTGACAGCTGCACTACCATCTGGCCCCTACATACAGAATTTTTGATTCAGTAATATAAAGGTCAAGTAGTGTTCCCAATGACTCAGTATGAAATAGGGCCACTAGCTGGAAGCATTAAAAAAAATTAATTTCCTAAAGGTCTATTATTTTTTAAAGCATGAATAACAATCTTATCTTTCTCTAACATTTTTTCCCCATCTACTTGTCTCACACACCCCCAGAATTGTTGTATTAACAAATGAATTAAACAATTGGGGAGATTTCACATTGAATATTTCACTGCTATCTATTGTTTGGTGGAAAGGTTTGAGACTTTGGAATGAGACTCACTTACATTTGAATCCTGGCCCTAAAATTCATTTGAGCAATTTATATCATCTCTAGAAACCTTATTTTTTTTCATTTCTTAGGACCAGGATATAATGTATAGCAAGTGCCTAATACACTGCGTGTTCTAAGATTGATGCTTATAAATGGAAGCTATTTATTAATTATTACTGGAAATGAGTTCCTCTAAAACCTTTTTTTCAATGACAAAGGTAATATTATTGAGGATTTTTCCGATTGTCTTAAATTATTTTGATTAAACTAAAAAGGCAGGAAAATTAAATTACCAAAATACATGCTGAGAATCTCTAACCTGGCAATCTCAAATCCAAATGCTCCAAAATCCAAAACTTTTTGAGTGTTGATATGATGCCAAAAGTAGAAAATTCTATACCTGATCTCATGTGACAGGTGGCAGACAAAATACCGTAAGACAAAAATATTATATAAAATTACTTTCAGGCTCTGTGTGTAAGGTGTATGTGACACAAATCAATTTTGAGTTTAGAGGTGGGTTTTATCCCCATAATATCTCATTATTTATATACAAACATTTAAAACTCTGAAAAAATATTTTTTAAGTCCACGGTGCTCTGGTACTATGCATTTCAGATAATTTATTAAGGTGTAGTAATTTATTAAAATGTTTTGTTATGAATATAATCTTAAAGACACAAATGTATTGTTAAGCATTGGAAGTGTGGTGACAAAGCAAAAAGCCTATTAAAATATGTTGTTTGGTGGACTTTTTATGCTCCTTTTATTTTAAAAGAAAAAATCTTTATGGATGTTTGACTTAATGATAATTGATAAAATCCTGTTCCAGTAAAGTAAATATTGATTATAACTTGGATACAATCTTTGGCATGAAGTGGTTGTAGATTGAAAAAATGATTTTTCACTTGATGCCTCAAATTTTTTATTTTATTACACTAACAGTGTTACTAGGTTGACTTTGTGAGTAGACAACCCAGCAGAGGGCGCCACAATCATAATTCTGCCTCTCAGCCCAATATAATTAGAATAAATGATGAATAATAACTGTAAGCCTTCACCATGTAAACATGTTAAGCTGTGCTTAAACACTTCTGTTTGATTTATTTCTAATATATTTAATATACTCAGCAATTCATTGATATAAAAATAGATTTTCCCTGGTTGATTTTTGAGTTCAAGTATTTTTTATTTTAAGTATTGGTTTAATTTTTGTATTTCTAGCTTTAAATAAAGAAATACTTATGGTCTTGCTAGCCTTAATAGAGATAGAAAGTTCTATGCAAGAGTGTCAATTCTTAAATCACCACCGTGGCAGTATACTGAAGAATATTTATTGATAGGAAGAAGAAAAAATTTTTCTACTCATTTGAGAAAATCAGTTGTTGGAATTAACTATTTATTTTAGTAGTTTGTATCCTAGTTAATAGTACTTCCTGATAATAGAAAAATAATTAAAATATTTTATAGTCACGGAAATCTGATATGTATATATAGTAAACATGATAGCGTCATGGCGTAGCTGAACTATATAACCTCAATTTCAAGTTAATTTTTAAAATCAGAGAATGATTTTATTCATTGTACATTTTCAAAGATGAAAGGATCAGTCTTGAATTTGTTCATGCTCTAACCAAAAAGATATGGAAAAATCTCTTATTTTCTGATGTATTAGAAAATATTCTTTGTATTTGCTTCTATTGTTTGGAAGTATAATAATTTTAGATGTATTACCTGAAAGACATTTTGTGTTTTAGAGCTATCCTTTCACTGCTTGAATACCTTTGAATGTTGTAGGGAGAAATTAAAATAAAATGAAAAATAAATAAATCTCACACAGAATCGATCATTTCTGTGTCATGATTTACATGTAATAGAAGACCCCAGCCTTCATTTATCTATTTTTATTTGCTATGTGGAAAACAAACTGTCTTGAAAGCCAAATCCTTTGTGCTTATCTGTAACTAGGGACAGGTACGCCTATTTCACTCTAGTTTCTACTACTTGAGAACCTATTTCCTTCCAAGATATTGAAGCTGCTCTGCAGAAAGGTGGTACCTGCTATTGATTCATCATGTCTGGAAAGAAATACTGGCAAGCTACCTGGTATGGCATCCTTTACCCCAACCAAGGTGCAGGTTGCATCTGTGTTGCATTTGACTTATCCACTCAGAGACCTTGGGTAACAAGTGCTTGCTTCTGTTTTCTCTGTGGGCAGTCCCTTTTCCAGCCAGTTTCCTGACCTCTAGTTAAGGAAGCCTCACCCTGCCGTGTCTCTTCCAAAGCTATTTCCTCTTTTTCCATTGTTATCTCTTTCTATTGCCACCATGCTTTTTTTTTTTTTTTCCTGCCAACACTTATAATTTTTTGTTTTTTTCTTCATGAGAGATTTTCACTATAGGGCGTGTGTGCTCTC